TTTAAAAGACAGAGAAACACCACTACAGCTTCAACAGAGAGGGTGATGGCAAAGGAGAAGATTGTTGCTCGATTTAATGTGTAAGTTACTATGAAGCCACTATGGCATGTCATTTTTACATTTAGTATAAGCCCTTTCCTCTGTTGTTACAGTTTTAGATCATTAAAATAGGATTTCTTCTGATGAAAAACACATTCCTGGAATAAACCGTAATAATTTATTTTCTAAATGACATTTTTGCAGTAAAAACTGAATTTCAGAAATAAAAAAAACCTTTTATATACCTGGAAATCTTTACACGTTAAATGGCTGAAATACATTACTCATAGTCAAAATAATACAAATGCAATAAGAACAATAGAAATTAATTTCTAGACATCCAGAATGTATATTCTAGATATGAAGAATGCCATTTTGTTTGAAATGTTAAATTTGACAAGTAAATTTTTTTTTTTCAGATATCTGGAATACACATTTAGTAAAACTAATACGTATCATTAGTTGCACTGATATTATATCAGTACAATTAAGCATTAAAGGCTGCAATCAAGCTATCATCTTCAATGTCAGCATGGATTTTAAAATCCTCCCACTATGATGACGCTAAATCAGATTCTTATCCAAAAATTCAGAGTAAGGACCTGGTGGACGATACAAAGTTACAAAAAGAAGAGGTTTTGTGGCTTTGCAATTTATATCAGGGAAACTAAAGGCTATATATTAAAAAGAGTTTTAATTATTGACCATCTTTGGAGTAATCAGAAAGTCAGACTGAAAGATTGTTGCTACTCCTCTTCCACGCCCAGAATGTCTGGGTATGTGAAAATTTAAATAACTAGAAGGAGTTGCCTCATTTATGCTCACACAATCCTCTTGCTGCAGCCAAGTTTCTGTAAGGCAACAAAAATTAATGTGATTATCAGAAATCAAGTCATTAACTAGCAGACTTTTTGAAGAAAGATGTATTATGTTAAATAATCCACATTTAATCGTTTTAACCTTTATCTCAATTGGAGTTATTGTTATTTTAACTTTAATTTTAGATTATCATAATTTACTCCTTTGGGATTATTTTCTAAGTTATTTGTTTGTGGTCGTGGGCAAGACACTGTCTGGATAGAGTAAAGAGTGTGTAACAGTAGAGAAGCTGCAGAGAGGTGTGTTAAACTAAGAATCTGCTTCCTGGTCTGCACCCTGAGCTGTCAGTGTTTTGGAGTAAACCATCTCTAACAGTTAAGAAGAGGCACATACTGTAAAATTAAGGCACAACTCTAAACTATCACAATATAATCAAGACCATGCAGGGCTCCTCTGTTATTTCTGCGTATAAAGTGCCTTTAATTTTCCCTTTATAATATCATTTTAATTCCCTCAAGACAGTTATTTTCCCTATGGGTGCCAGTGTTAAAGTATATTTTATCTTTGTTAAGATGGCTGTTTTTAATCCTTTATTCATCCAGAATAAGTTATTTTGGATGGATTACCACTGTTTACTAAGAATAATTAGATCAATTTAAAAAGAAGCATAAAGAGATCATGAGAAATTGATCCAGCCGGCTAAAATCACCTAAAAGAATGCTTAAAATCAGGTATTTAAAACAAAGTACTCCACCATATTATGCTGATAGCTGCTTTTCATTTTGTTTTCTATAAATAATATCCAGGAAAACTAGTTTCTACTCCCCACCCCTCCCAATGACAAGCAACTAGAAGCCTCATATTTACATCGTTTAACTCAGTATTGCAGATCCACCAGAGGGCGCCATCATCCA